GGGGGGGGGGGGGGGGGGGGGGGGGGGCGCTGCGGCAAGTGCAGCTACAGGAGCATTGGAGCAGAGATGATCGGCTGAGATGCGCACCGGGTCAGCCGAGGTGATTGTGTTCTTGCAGCGCGGTGACCGGACAAAGATGGGATGGTGACGGTGACTTTGTGTTGGCTGAGAGGGTCAGCTCCGAGGCCGACTGCGTGTTCTGCAGTCTCTGGGGGGCTGTTGGAAATGCAAGCCGGGCCTCCAAGGTGGAGCGCGGCCGTGCGCGCCAGCGATGGAAGCTGAGCTTTTTCGGAAATGTGTTAGGGCGATGCAGCAGGGCTATGCAGCTCAGGAGCTTCGAGAGCTGTGTCGCTGTTCGATAGCGTCACTCTTCTCGGCGCATGCTCCACTTGGAGCGATTCTCGAAGCTAGCTGGCACCTTCGTCTTGGCAAGCACCACCTGTCTCCTGACGACCACCGCTTCACCACGTCCATCCATCCTTCCTCCCTTTCCAGTACGGCCCCAGTATCACCATCACAAATGTCCTTCCTCGACAAGTTCCGCGACGCCGCTCAGAAGGCTGGCATCCAGGCCAACGCCTTCGCCCAGCAGACCGGTCGTGCCATCAACGAGCAGGCCGCAACAGCGCGTGCAGGCTTCTCCTTGCCCAAAGAGTGCGACCGCTCGGCCAAGATCCTCCAGGCTTTCCTCGCCGACCCCAACCACCCGGACTCGGCGCTCAACTCGATCCCCAAGGCCGTTCTGCAGCAAGCCAAGGGCCTGGCTGTCTTTAGTGTGATCAAGGCGGTACGTTCTCAGTCTCCTGCAGCAACATCTTCGAGCGCTCGTATACTGACTCAACACCTCTTTTCCCCTTTGCTACTATTTTAGGGCTTTGTGTGGTCGGGCAAGATCGGTAGTGGTGTTGTGATCGCACGTCTTCCCGACGGCAGCTGGTCGGCGCCGAGCTGCATCGGCACAGGTGCGGTCGGCTTCGGTCTGCAGATCGGTGCCGATCTCACCGAGTTTGTCATTGTCATGAACAGCGAAGAGGCGGTCAAAGCTTTCGCACACGCCGGCAACCTCACCATCGGAGGCAGTCTCTCGGCTGCCGCCGGGCCCATCGGCACGGGCGGCGCGATCAACGCTGCGATCCGCGACCCGGCTCCGCTCTTCACCTACTCGAGATCCAAAGGTCTGTTTGCCGGCATCTCGCTCGAGGGCACCGTGCTTGTCGAGCGCAAGGAGACCAACAAGGACTTTTACGGCCAGCCCATCCCGGCTGTCGACCTGCTCACGGGCAAGGTGCCCGCACCCGAGGCGGCGAGCGCCATGTACGAGGTGGTCGAGGCCGCCGAGATGGTCGACGAGTCGGGCATCCCGCAGCAGGCGTACGTGCCCACTGCCGACCCGGCACACCACGTGCCCGTCGCAGGCTACGATCTCTCGGACAATGCCTCGACGACCACCGCATCCACAGCAGTCGAGCCCACAGCCGCCGCCCCCGCCGCAAACAAACCCATCTTTGACGCGTAGGTATCGCCCGCACACGTCCCTTTGTTGCACCTCTCGATCACTGACCCCGCTCATCTTTCTGGCCTGCAGTGACGCGAGCGAAAAGCGAACCAACTAAGCCCGTGCACCTGCGCACGTTGACCGCCATACCCTCTCCCGCACCACGCCGTTGAATCACACACATCTACACGCAGTGCCTCGCACGCCGCTCGCGACTTGATCGTGACATGAGTCTATTCTATGAGTGTGCAAGTGCCTGCCTACTGCGCATGGGGCGCATGGGGGAAGTTGTGGGCCCTCCTTGCGTGCAGGTGGGTACGTGCGTGCTGCGAGAGTTCGGCGCGCGTATTGCGAGGGCTCGAACTGAAAGGTTCCTCCAAGCTCGGTGGCGACGGTGGCACCACCTGACCTCGGACCGCTGGTAGGGGCTGAGCGATGAGGGCAGTGGGGGAGGCGGATCGCGACTCTTCCGAGAGCGAGTCGTTCGACGAGGTAGGTTCATGCCTCCTACGCACATGTGCCTGTCCGGCGCGCATGCCGGGAATCCCGCGCAGCGATGCTGCTGTCATCTCTGCCTGGTGCCACCCACCATACGGCGGACTGCTCATACCGCTTCCCGAGCCCGTCGAGATCCAGCCGTCCGGACGAATGCGGTCCTTGGCGCGCTGCCTCGCTGCCGCCTCGGACGCCGTGCTCGATCCCGACACCCGTCCACTGCGCCCTTCACCCTCGGTGGCCGTCGAAGTGTACGAGAGCACGCGCGAGGTCATGCGCGGACTGCGCGGCGTGGCGTGCATCTGCGCGTACACCGAGTTCTCCGCCTTGCGCATGTACCCTCTCCCGGGTCCTTCGCGCGGCCACCCTGCCTGCCTCGAATTCGTCGGCGACGGGGTGCCATCTCTAGCTCCCTCCACCACCTGCGAGACACCTTCGTTGCCCGACGATTCTTCGCCGGAGGACGACTCGTCGTCGCCGTCGCGGCTGTCGCTCGCTTCGCCGTCGCGCGCATCGGTCACCTCCTCCATGCTCGCTCGGCGCTCAGCCCCGTACGCCGGTCGAAAGCTTGCCTGGGGCGAACCGACGCGCTGAACTTCCGCCCGCTGGCGCGGCTCGGTCTGCCTCGCAGCGCCATTGTCCCGTGCAGCCTCTCGGTTGCCCGTCTCGGCCGCTCGACGTCGATTCGGCGAGGCGGGATTCGCGCGTCGATTCCATGCATTGGCAAAGTTGCCAATCGCACCCGCCTGGTCCCAAGCATTGACGAAGGACAAATTTGCCGGCAACCCCCTCGGCCTCGATACTGCCGGAGCAGACACAACCGACGCCGCAAAGGCTCCATTGTTGCTCTGCTGGGTGCTGCCCATCTTTGGCGTGGTGTCGGCACTTGGCGGGGGCGACCGCCGCGGCTCGTCGGGAAAGACGCGCGTGGGCGCCGTCGGCGTGCGCTGCTGCGTCTCCCAGGGAAAGATGGGCTTGACCTTGCTCGCGTCCGGCTTGTGCGAGCCCAAGTTGTCAAAGACATGGTCGCGGCGCAGCTGCGAGGGGATGTATCCCGGCCCGCCGCGCTGGCGTCCACTGCGA